CTCTGTCAGATTTAGATAATATTTTTGCTTTTTTCTCCTGAACTTTGTTTCTTTTCATATTTTATGCTTTACAACTGCCTACCAATATGGGTAAACCCAAATGTAATCCGCAATATACACACATATACATATGCATATACATATACATATACATACATATATATATATATATAGATACATACCCATATATAATGAATATATATAATTTGATTATTTTGAAAGGCAAAGAAAATGGGAAATTTTTGTTGATGCCCAATTGATGAAATGTCATCAAGTGTTGATGTTTTCCATTAATTCCCCAATAAAATAAATAAGATGAAGTACAGTTGGTGGGTCTTTTACATGTCTTTTTCCTTTTTGTTTTATCAAATTTGGTAACCAATTCTTCATTTTTCTACCTCAAGTCATTGCCCCATATATATACATACACACACACACACATATACATACATACATTGTATATCTCACTCGTGAAAATTAATGCTGCCAGAAAATGATATCTCACCTAACCTCACGGTTCCATCTTTTTTTTATTTTGTCACATCTCTTTTACTTTTTCTTTTTCTTTTATCCAATGTCATATGTAAATATATATATCATTTAGTTTCCTACATACATTTTTGTTCTCACTAGTCATTTGTATGGGTAAAAAAGTGGATATATATATATATATATATATATGTATGTGTGTGTGGAGTAGATTTTGTAGTTATAATTTGAGAATCTAACGGTAAAAATTATGGTTATGATTGTAACAAAGTAAAAAAAAAAAAAAAAAAAGTAGGGAAATATTTAGAAATTTATATTTATTGATTTTAATTATAAGACGACACACAAGCATAGCTGATGAAAATAGTAAATATCATATAATATGTATTAGTTACATATATATATATATATATATAATATATATATACTACTTATCGTAATAATATATTAGCTGGAAATTAACTTTTGCTTTATAACTCCAATCCGCACAGTAAATGCTAACAGTAAAATTCTACTTTTGGAATACTTAACATGCTCGGAGACCCAGTCAAATTTTGTTCCAATCAAGTTAAGCTTCGATGTAACTTTCATGTATCTATTCATCTCTAGTTGTTCCCTAATGACCTCTTTATTAGTTTGAGCCAGACTTACATGATTCTTCTGCTGTGAATCATTTACAGAACTATTCAGTTCAATCCTGCATCAACAGTTTGTTCTGCAATCATGTTCAGTGTTTTAAGGGGAACAGTATAAGAATATCCACCTGACCAGATCAAGAGTATTCTGTATGAAACTAACAGTTATTATATTCAAAATTAAAATAGTTCAACAACGTCGTAAGAACTAGAACACAAGTCTAACTACCAAGGACGATTTCACAGTTTACACTTGTCTTCTGCCTTCGTAATTCGGAGGGGAGGGGGGGGTACTCGATAGTAATCAGATATTCGTCTTTAACTACAGTATCCAATCTGATACATGGTTGATTAATCCCGTAATAGAGAATATACATGAATTATGAGTTCAAAAGCAAGCACCGTCAAAATCCATTGCCCCAAATATATTCCACCCAAAAACAAGTCTAAAAGAATATGCAAAGAGCTGTGTGTGGAAGATTCAATATAGAACCAAGGCATATATATCTAGCTCCAACCTGTCAAGCCTAGTCGATCAGCAACATTGTACATTACTAATTGATTCCAAACACGACCAAAGAGATGTGTCCCTCCGATGGAAAACGTCAAGGCCCATGTAGAGAGAAGAACTGAGAATACCGCAAACCCCACGGCAGATCCAACAACATCTACAAAGAGAATATTTTTCCAAAGTTGTAAAAACAGAAACACTAAAGTAGAGAACTTGAAAAGGAGAACATAGCAGTGTTTTCAATCCAGTTCAAGGAAATTGTTGATTTTTTAGATAAAAAATATCAATTTTATTCTCACTCTTTAAATTGTTATACCTAAAGTATTTATACAATTCTTAATATACTAATTAAAAAATAATTATTTTATTAGAATCTTAATTACATGAGATTACTATTGTAATAGAATTTTAATTATATAATACTAACTAATTAAATAGTAAACTAAAAAAATAAAATATCATGTTCAACAGAAATAATAAGAAATTTCTAATGCACAAAGCCCTTCATCCACTTC